TCAGAGCATGACTAGAACTGTCATAACAGAGAATCCCACGGAGATTAAAGACCTTACCAAAACCTGTTTAGTCCCCTCAAAATCATCCACAACATAGTGCAAACATATCCACAACGCACCGACCACATTGTCCCATAATCCCTGTGGATTTTCAAATACCTCAAAGACTATAACAAGCCTGAATCTCCACCGTTATCGAACTCCAAATCTCCTCTACACCAACTGTCAAGGTTAATATACTACAATTCATTCAACGCAAGTAAACAAATCCACTCCATCTCCACATAAACAAAATATTAAACTTACATACAGCCCTCGATAATGACTAAATGAAAATCCAAACACAAAGATATCTGTCTGCCAACTTGGGTAAACCAAACGGTCTGGGAAACGGGAATAAATAGCAGCAAGAAAAAATCAAATTACGACACTTATATAGCAAGGCCACAACAATTAAAACATAGCTTTGGTACTCCAGAAACCTCAACCTTTTACTGTCTCAAATAAAGTTTCTCATACCAGGATATTGTAAGTACTAATCTCCAAAACCCACGTTCCCTTCATTCAGCGACGGCCGCCGCAGCGTACGAGGTGGCCTACTAAATGTGCCACAAAGAATAAAAACATACGTTAAATAATCAGTCCTACGATCAACGACCTAGAAACATAAGCAATAACAACCAAAACAAATAACAAAGACACAACATTAGTATCGCCCCGTAATTAAAACCCTCCAAATAAGCTCCATGTCCCGTAGAAAAATATATACTGAACAGTTTTGGAAATGACATATCAATGCGATAGGTGAACCTTAAATAGCAAACACTGGGCGGGTTTGGGGAATGCCAAACAGCAACAACTCCTAAGGGCAAAAATTTACTAAATCTAGCAACCACTCCTCAAGTTAAGTATTAATGGCCCCCAATAGACCCCCACCCCAATTCCCTTACAACAATAATATAATTCCTGACCAATATTAGAGATTTGATCCTCCCAAAAAAATATTGAATTTTCCCCGCTATACACACAAAAAGAGTAAAATTCCCTGAACTCGAAACCTCGGGATCAGACATCCCAATAATCATATCCATTCATCGCCCTCTATCTATCAATCCCTTATATAAACAGCAAAGGTACAATTAACCTTTTGGGGTTTTAAAAATTCAAGGGAAAAATTTTAGAAAATTAACTACAAAACAATCCGCAAAACATTCATCTGAAAAAGACTTAAGATTAAATGAAAAGTAAAAACGAATTAAGGTCTCAGCAACATAACAAGGAATCCCCTCACAAATTTCTACACAATATCTTCAAAATACACAAACCCAAATTAACAAGCAACAATCCCAATAAAAAATCATAAACCTTAATTAAAAAGTTAAACACAAATTTAAGAGCTAATAAGCAAATGAACACGACCGGCCAGAGACCCTAAAAGGAAAAATAAAAACAACTGCACGTAGAACTAGTTTAAAACTAAACCAGACCCCAAACATAGAAATATTGCAAGCCTAGACTTTTTCTAAAATAAATTCACCCGTCATCTAGGCCTTATGGTGGTCTTACAATACATAGGAATAAAAAAGAGGACCAAAAACAAGAAGATTTTCACAATTTAAATACTAGGTTTCACCAAGTGGCAAAATTCTGATTTTGAGAAAAACATCTCTTATAGCTGACTTACCTTGAAAAGTCGTTCAAGCCCAAATCCAGTTCCGAAAACGATCACATTTAAATAAACAAGTTAGAGGAAAATTTAATCAAAACCACTTACATACAAACCCAAGTCAATATAAAGGTACATAATCCCTCATCCAAAATTAAACAAAGAAATCAAAAAAATCAAAACTTAAGAAATTCAGCAGGAATACGACCTTTTATTTTATAATAAAGTTTCTAAAAAGAACCTAAATAAACAAATTCGATAAGCAAGGCATTTGACACAATATTTTAACGGGCAGCAAACTCAGAATAGGTTTACTTTCCCAACCGATTAGAATCGCAACACAGTTGCTACCCTTCCATAAAGCAGAAAAGAATCCAAAAGATCCGAGCCAACTAAGACCCAATAGCCCTAACTCCGTCCATTGTCCGAAACCTATTAGAAGAAACTGATACTAAAACGTTACATTAAAATTCCATGACCAACACACACTGTAATCCCAGGACACCGCAATTTGGATTTCGGAACTAACCCACTCCCACAACACACATTCCAAATATTAGACGGGCCTTACCGAATATATAGCGCAAGGATTCCATGCCAAACAACACCACTATCGCCAATATTCCCTGGACATCACCAAAGCGTTAGACAAAATATGGCCATCAAGGCCTTCTCTACAAATTAAGACAAATAGGAACTCCAAGACTACATATTCCAAATTTTAAAAGTTTTCTAAACCAAAGAAAGTTCCAAGTCAAAATTAAATGATGCCATAAACACCCTTACGCCAGATTTCAGCAGGCTGCCCCAAGGGGTCCCCATTATCACCGGTATTATTCAATTTATAATATATCCGATTATCCACACCTAATAGATTCGCAAATAGCACTTTACGCTGACGACAACCTGCACTTTTTTCCAAACATGGGGACATTATGACACCTAGGAATAACTTACAAGACGACCTTGACTATTTTCAATAAATGGCGAAAAAATTGAGAGAATTAAATGAATCCATAATAAAACACAGGCAAAATTTTCACCCTAAGACATCCCCTCACCTCCTCCCAGTTCATTTTGAACAATGAAAATCATTCCCTGGCTGCAAATAATACAGCACCGCCAAATTATTTAGGAATGCAACTTGATACTAAATTAAACTGGAAAACACACATTTACAAAACACGAACAAAAACACAAGCAAAACTTTCCAACTTTACGCCAACTAATTAACAAAAAATACTCCCTTAAAAATAAGGAACGGAATGATAATTTACAAGTCTATAATTCGACCAACTATGACTTATGCATGCCCAATATGGGGACAAATGGCCAGCCAACAAAATTCTAAAATAAACCTGTTGCAAACTATACAAATAAAGCGCTAAGAACTATAATTAAAGCGCCATGGTTTATTTCGAACAAGCAAATCCCACACGAACTGCAAATTCCGACAATAAAAGAACACGCTTACCAAATTGTCCGAAGACTTTTTCACATCACTCCCCTCATCTCCAGCACCTCCATCTTTCTAACCTTTGACGCACAGCAGAACCGAAACTTACGCATCAACCTCACGCTTCCCTAAAGACAGATTCAGACCACCATAAAATACCAGAAAATGGGCCTCAAATAATATAACCTTCATCGAATAATATATCAACGATCAGTCTCTGTACTCTCAATATACTTCCGTAATAATTTAAATTATTAATAAAATAATAATAATAATAACCAAAACATTATCGCATCGTCCGAGGCACCCACACTTTTAGAAATAAACCAAAAGTTATATATGATTGTATTCACAACCCTGAAAAACATGTATGTTGAACAGGTAGACAATAAATTTAAAAAAATTGTACAATTATAATTCCACTTACGACATTTCAATTAGGGCAATAGGTAAAGTAGAAGATTATTAACAACAAATATGATAACAATGCAATAAGTCTTATTTCCGCGCAAAACAAATTTTATTTTAAAAAGGAAAAATCATTTCAATATACTTTTTCGATTAAATAAAATGATACGTACTTAAATATCACTGATTAGATGCTATCTACTACAGAATTTACACCAAGATTAAAGAATGCTACGCATTTTGGGCCAAGGTGGCTCATATTATAGAATATAATTTATTTTCGAGGTTTTATTTCACAAACAGCATGTCAAATGAAAAATTACCACACTCAACGGAGAGTCGAACAAACTACTTGAAAATTAAGCTTTCAAATGCACAGAAAAGTACAAGGACATCCGCTGCATTCCTTGCGAATACGAGTATCACTTAAATGTTACTGGAATCGCAAACAAAAGTTTATTATTGATTATGAGTAGTACTTTCTGCACGTACACACAACATCCGCTTAGTTACCTTGAAAATTCAATGAAATAGGAAGAGGGGAAGGAATAGGAGAATGGAAGAGAAAACGAATGAGTTACTGTGAAACTATAGGGCGTAGAAGGTTGCACTGAGGGAAAGGGACTGGCGAATGTAGCATCAGATTCAATACGATTCGACGCCTACTGATCAATACTTGAGGTATCTGGCAAAACGTTGTGACATACTATGGGCGAAGAGAGTGTTCTTAAATACGTCAACGTACCATTTAATCAGTTCAGCAGTTTAGCAAGACTACCCTTCTCGTTTTATTACCACCAGGTGATGTTATCCCCAAAAAATGTTCTTCCCAAGAAGGCCACCTTCTGGATGGACTTTGGCAGGTAGTGCAAGAATTGCTCATTTTCATCAGCAAGTGGCTGTGGGTGCACTGACTGGGGCGGCGGTGCCTGACAGGCCAGCCCGCACGCGCGCACCGGAGCGGCCGGCGACCGGACGGGGGAGGGGATAATGACGGCGGCCAGCAGCTGACTGGGCTCAAGGACGCGCACGCTCCCGCCCGCCGCCGCCGCCACCGCCACCGTCTCTGGACCGCCCGCCGCCGCAAAGCGACTTATCGCATGGCGCATCCTCGCCGCGTCACGCGCGCGGCTTCGTCTGCCCCGCCACAGACCATAAAACGCGCCTGGTTATTGATTGATGGCCTCCCGAGCAGTGACAGGCCGTCCGGCTGGCCGTTCCCGCCGTCCGTCGGTCCCGGCTTGCAAGTGCCGCGCTCCGCGCCGACGCTGCGGCGGCGCCACGTACCTGACAGCTCTCCGAGGACAGCGCCGGCGGCGACCGTCCGAACGACGGCGACGGAACCCGCGAAGCACCAACGCAGAAACGACACGCGTTGCACACGGACGGGCCGCCGTTCGTCACGCAGTGGTTCACACTCGCTCAGGCGCACGCATCTCCATCGCCGCACACGCGCCGACACTCCCAAACGTGACGCGATGCCGCACCGTGAAGCCACTCCGCAGACAGCAGCATCCTCCGGCGCTTGGTTCGCGCCGGCCGGGCGCCGCGAAGGGGATGCCGAGACATCTGCCGGACGGGCGTGGAACTACTAGGACTCGATGTTTGTTGAAGCACTCTCCAGGAACGAATGAGTGTACCAACGGCGGTTCCGGGGGAAGGGGCACGCCCCATCTTGCCAAGACAAAACTTAGTTGATTTTTTATTCAATTTATTCCAGAAATTGACCAACTTTTATAATTGACCCCTACAGGGGTAACCGTTTTCAGTTGTTTTTTTTTTCAATTTCAAGCTAACATTAGTTAATTTGTATTTGTATGATTTCCAAAAAAATTGGTATGATCGGGTGTTCAGATTGTCGCTCTCTGGAATTAAATTCTGGTTTCGCGATGAGTATCTTCCAAGTTCTATCTCATGGAAACTGTCAAACTGACGTGTTTCACGACAAAAATATTATTACGAAATTAAGATATGATAGATAAAAATTCAGGACTCAGTTACTCTCAACAATAATGTTTTTTTTTTTTTTTTTTTTTTACTTTCTGGCGAACTACGTCAAGTTCCCACCACAAGAAGTGGCGGGTGAAATTAAATCTTCCCAACCGTCCATACAAACATGGACACCCTTCAACTTGGGAGACGAGTGCGTTGTAACCAATCGTTACAGTCAGAACTTGTGTCCATGACATTGGCGAAAACTACCACGGGGCAGGAAAGACGCTGTTCCCGGGGGCGACGAGCCCGATTGTTTACGTACGAGGCAGAAATATCGTCATCGTTCTCTGCCAAGGAGAGAGTTTGCCTGCGCATAAGCCATGACGAAAAATATTTCTGAGCGAGGTTTTCCGTCCGGAATTACTGTCAATAGTGCAGTAAATATTTAGCAATTTTGCAACAATTATACTAACTCTTAGCAATCAATTTGAAACTCTATCAAACTGTTATATTAAAATGTTCATCTCAGGCACAATTTGCGGATCCTTTCTGGCCGTTCTAGTGCATATTTCGAATTTGTTCATAAAATTGTAAATTATTGCAAAATTGTTAATTCGCAGATTTCAGTTCTGGGACATCGGAAGACTCTCCCCTCTCTAGATCTGCAAAAGTTGGAAATTGTTTATAAATTTGCAAATGTAGCAAATGTATGTCTCCTCTGAATCCTCTTTAAACACGATTCCAAATTCTGCAATCCGATCAGTGCTGCCACCTTCCGTTCTCGAGATATTTAATTGTTTATTATAACTTAGCATCTCATAATCACCCCCATTTTCTGCACTCATTCCATTCGCTCTCCGCGCACAAGAAAAGAGAGGTTTGCGATGTCTCCTTTGATTGTTTGCTTCATACGTCTAGGCACAGGTGATATCGCAGCGTTGGTAACACCTCGAGGCGAGTGAACGGTGCGACGGAGCAAGATGACTGTCTTTACAATTTCTTCGAAAAAATCAACAACAAGAAAAACAAGCTGTAATGTTTTCGTGAGGTCATTGCAGTAACAATTTGTCTTACGGCAACTATGGCAGTTTTTTTAAAGATTCAAACTTTCCTTTTTATTCTAATCAGTCATTAAAACTTCCGTTTCAACGTTTAATTCGCTTAAGTGTCATTAATATATAAACAAATTATCTGGTACATTTAATAACGCCGAGAGAAGCAGTTTTGTGGCCATTGTGTTCAGAAGCAATATTATTTATTTTTATCTTCTCTATTCACTAGTATGACTTGCATTGCTATCGGCTAGCAAAGAAACTGTTTATAAAGATATATTACAAATTTCATTACGTCGAAAGGCTTACTCAAGAAGCAATAGTGCCAATCATATTTACTCTCAAGGGCAAGTTGAGCTATGGAAGGGTTCAGTATTCTGTAACTTCTCAAGGACTTTGGTTCGCGTGACTTCGATAGGAAAATTAAAGGAAGGTTCATTTACTGTGAATGTTTACTGTTAGTATTTCGCTCCTCAAATTAAAACCTTTGGTGTTTAACTATACATACAAAATAACCCAATGAGGGTGGTGTATCTCCAAAAGTATATCATTTTTTCTATCCGATTTTTCTTACCGCTTCTTCCTACTGGCCAGTCATAAACTGTTACTCATCTGACGTAGGTGGTGGTATACATCATTCTGTGTGTCACCTGTGATTTTAACACAGCTTTAAGGTATTTTCAATATTTGGCCCATTTTGGAACTGCTGTTGAACATAATTTCCCTCGTAGAATAGTTCTTTTAAAAACCCTCGACCTTTGGAAATTCTCAGATAAATCCCCTCCTCGCTTCTCGAATCGAGAATTTATCGACAATTTCCAAAGCACTCGTAGTATAATCTATGTTAAATTGTCGATGAAACTAATCGCTTGCCGCAAAAACTATTGCCATTGAATGAATTTCATGAATCTTGAATCGTATTTCAGTCTAGAACACCTCGAAATTTCATATACGTAGACTACCCTTTGAGGTCGGAGTTAAGGAATATTTCTTTTAAAATTGGGTGTTTACGTATCTCAAACAAATTGAGTTACACAGAATTGCGATTTATTAAACTTCTGGCAAAAAGTTCAAATATTTTACCCCCTTATGAAGTTACGTTTTCGCTCACGATATTGATAGTGCAAGTAAAACAAAAACACATTAAAAATGACATTATAAATTAAATCCGTGACGAATTAATATTTTCTACCAAGAGGACGAATCCCAGAACATGGACGTAAATCTAACATAATTACAATGCTTTTACCCTTTAAACATTTTAAATATCGACGAAACGCCTTAAAACTCACAAATGTCCGGGCTATTAAATCGTCAATTCGATAAATGTAATTGTTTAATGTTTTGGAGAAGTAGGAAAATATAGAAGATGCGATTAATTTATGCCCCCTTAGAGGTTTTGGCTTTTAAAATTATTACACTGATAAAATAAAGAAACTATGTGTGTGTGATAAAATAGAACGATTAAAAATAATATGCTCGCTTTGTTTAATAAAAGTAAAATCAATTAATTAATGAAGGGAAAGGGAAAGGTATCCGTTTACACTTGCAAATGCTAAGCATGCATTTCATTAATGAATAACTTAATTCATTTCTTGTTAATGCGGCTTCAATTTTCAAATCAAAAATTGAAAAGAATCCAGAGTTTTTTAATATATATGTATATATTATTATATGTATTAATTTATACATATAT